CAAACCACTTATAGAATGCCATTCGCTAAAAAGCTCACACCCATAAAAGAATCGAATATAAACAATTCATCAGTTGTAATATAAAGGAACATAAGATGTAGAGAGTAGATCGCTATGGCAGGACAGAACGTTGGTCAATGCATTGACTTCACTCGTCTAAGAATGGTAAGACTCATCGCTGATGCATGCGGAACGTCTGGGAATGCGCACAGTTTACGGACCAAAGATAAAAAATATCAAGGATACTATGGAATATGGGCAAGATGCATTCATCTGGGTCACTCGAACAATATGAGTATGTTTTGAAAAGAAGGGGAAACAAAGGGGACTGCAACCATATTAAAGGCCAAACCACCTATATGTAGGTTTTGATGAGCAGAAACCAGATTCCTACATTGAGAAAACAGTGATTAGTTCAGAATATGCATTTAGTAAAGGCTGGGTTTCAAAAACCCCCTGAAGGTTAGTGATTCGGCTTTCATTTCGAAAGAATAGTTTGTAAAGAATTCATGAATTAGCCTTATCAGAAGCATAAGGAGACTGAAGTGAAGACTGTTGAATCGTGAGAAGTCCTCGACTCAGCTCCCAATAGACTCCACTCCAAGACATTATCCTATTCGGTTTCGAGTGAAGCTAAGCTACGAATATCTTGCAAATAAGTTTTCACTTAGAAGAGGTAATCAAATTAGGGTGCATCACATGCCAGAGCAAAGGATGCCTCACAAGTTTATAAGGCCAATATTTCTAGGACATTAATTTATTTTCGACAATCCCGTATCTTGGTTTGCAGTTGAAATTCAAACAAGCAAAAGGTAATCGAGCGAACCACCCTTAACTGGAATGCCCTTCAAAGGGTAAAATAATAATTTAAAAAATCGATGATGAACTTGGTGTCATTTTTTTTCGATATTGCCAGAATATCGTGAATAATAAATGTATTCATTCAAAGTATTGGGAGAAAGATAGTTGAATTCTTCAGCACTGATAACAGTGACCCTCGAGGGGTATTTTCATTCAGGGTAGACTGAAGTTTCGACTTCGCCTGGGTCTCATCAGATAAGTAGGCATTATGAGGCCTATGAATATCATTGCGGAAAAATCAACTCTTGCATTCTTTAGGCGTTTACAGAAAGCTCCCGCGGTATGTCCACGAGAAGTTCGGATTACACAATACTTGCGGAAAACTAAGAGACTCAAATTGAGGAAATATTCAACTGCAAAATATAAGCATGAAAGGTTGAAAAGCAATTAGTATGGATAAAACCAAGCCACTACTAAATGAAGGTAAAGGGGTATCCAAACCAAGATTAAGAGATAAGTTGAGAATCCGATGAGGGGAATACGCTTGAGTCATTAGTTTACAAAAAGATGGCACGGTCTGGGCAGTGCCTATTTCAACTTATTAATGAACCACGTCAGACCAGATATGCAAGACCGCGATTGATCAATATTAGTATAGTTTTCGTGCATCGTAGTACCTACGTATATATGGTCCTGCCATGTCATCAATTATGTAATACTTCGTGAGTTGAAATTTCATTTCTAGCCTAACTATGATAATTACTTGTCTCAATTCAGCCCACCTTTTAGTTATCGCAAGCGATACACCTATTCGAAGACTAGTAGTAAATATGCGACACTTGCCATCTATATTGATCTGGAAAACGCATACATGCACCTAAAAAAGCAAGTGAAAATAGAGCACTCAGGTGAGGCTTTTTCATATGTACAAACAAATCACTTAACAGATTCGATCCATCAATGCAAGGTACTATGACTTAACGAGGGCTTCCAAGGATAAGGCGTTTGAAAAAATAAATTGGTTAAAGTCAGTTGATACCGGTGTAAAGCTGTCAAAAAATCATTAACCAAAAATCGTAAAAACAGCAAAGGAGCTATTGTATAACGCCAGGAAAAAATGAAAAAAAGTGATAGAAAACAAAAGGAGCTGGATTGTAAATATATGGAAGGAAATAAAGAAAAAAAATGCATGTGTAATCTTCACATTTCAGAGGCAAGCATATAGACAGAAAGGAAAACAAACGAATCGGGATAAAAGTAGGATGGATTGTGTTATTTAAATTGCACCGGCCTTATATAGTGAGTTGGCCGAAACATTCTGCTATTATTCACACATAAACGAGGAGCAGGACACATTAATAATAAGCGGAAGGCAAGTTCAAGATAGGAGGAAGAATGGCGGATATATGGCCGTCGAACAGAGAAATATTTATGAAAATTAAGGCAAAATGAAAGGAAAATCTGGTGTATTGTAAAATATTGCTAAGGACATACTTCAAGACTAGTTAGTTTCGGTGGAGTATAAATCAAGTTGAATCGTGAAGATGAAGAATAAAAGAATGCCCTAGTCTGTCAGTTCATCAGCCGATTGGTAAGATTTTTCTGCATCGTCAGGGTCACCCACCCCACTCCTGCCAAGACCACCCCCGGAACTACAGTGCTCGGGAGAATTAGAGCCTTCAGGGCCACCCCTGCCATCGCGCCCAGCGTCTGATGCAGCTCCAGTTGGCTTAACAGTCTTTCCCTCGCAGGCAACGATTTTCATCTTGAAGTCGATGAGAGCACAATGTGCAAGCATATATAGAAAATTGCATTAACGCGGAAAATGTACGCGCATAAGGCTGATAAAATACAATGCTAATCAAGGTAAAAAAAATATTTAACTAATAAAACCAGAAACTATAAGAAAAATTGAAAGTAGTGCCAAGCAAAGAAGCGCAAGTGTTCAGCACAAAAAGGCTTAACAAAATTAAACTCTAATATCAAAACCTTTTCATCCGAAGTAAGGTGAGATAAAGAAGTAAAAGGCAGATAATAATCTATCGACATTACAAAAGGAGCATACATCTATCAGGTTACTCACTTGTATAAATCTAGTTGGGAATCAATTCTGCCTGAACTTATATGGACACCGTGCGATAGAATTTACG